TTCTGCACTGTAATGGAGGAAATTCAAATAAACTAGTCAAAAATAGATTAGAAAGTGATAACATTGTGGACAAAAAGCAGAATATAGTAGACTAGAAATGTGGGGATGGCATGGAGGGATGGCTGTTACTTGATGTAATTGATCAAAAAAGGCTCTATTCATAAAACAAGTTTTGAACATAAGACCTCAAAGAAAAGAGAACATCAAGTACAAACTCGTTTTTGCAGGTAAGTACTTGCCATGTTTAAGGGCAACAGGTTTGGCATGGCTGTACTGGACTAGCAAAGGAAGAGTAGCTAATGAGGCTTGGAAAGGCAATGAGGCTTCACACACTGCTGTAAGGACTCTGGCTTTTACTGTGAGTGGGATGAAAAGCCACTGAAAAGTTGTAAGCAGGAGAGTGTAATGATCGGACTTTCATCATAAAAGGAGTATTTGGGCTGCTCACGTGAAAGCAGACTGAAGAGGGTAAGTCCGAAAGCAGTTAGTCAGGAGATTAGTGTTATAACCCTGGTGAAAAATGAGGGTGGCTAGAACTAGTATGGTGGTAAAAATAATGAGAAGTAGCCACACTGTGAATGTATTTTGAAGTCAGTTGACAGGATACGATGTTGAAAGAACAGTCAATAATGACTCCAGTATGGAAGATGAGAACAGAGAGAAGGGCAGAGTTGTCATTTATTGAAATAAGTAAGATCAATTTGGAGAGAGAATAAAATCAAGAGTTCACTTCTACATATGTTAATTTTGAAATGTCCATTAGAAATACAATTGTAGATGTTAAGACAGCTATCAGTCTGAATTTCAGGGAAGGAGTCCAGGTAGAGATAAAAATTTGAGAGTCAGCTAATAGATATTATCAACTAGAAAGTTGGAATGACTATAAAAGAGAAGGTATCTGAGGACTCAGACCTTGAGCACCTCAGCATTTAAAAGCCCGAGAGATGAGGAGGAACTTGCAAAGGAGGCTGAGAAGAAGCAGTCAATAAGGTAGGAAGAAAACCAGAAGAATGTAATACCAGGGACTCAAATGAAGAAAATATTTCAAGGAGGGGGCAATCAAGTGAGTAAAAAACCAGGCCAAGGAAGAAGAAAAATGACCTGTGGATTTAATAATATAGATGTCAGGAGCCGTTTCACAATAGCTGTTTCATAACAGCTGTGACAAAGAAAGCCAAGAGTGAAGTGGGTTCAAAATGAAATGAACTGGAGAGAGTATAGACAATCTTTTGGGAAAGTTTTGTTGTTAAAGGGACCAGGAATTTAGAGAGGCAGTTTGAAGGACATAAGGGAAGGTTTCTTTTTAAAAAGACTTAAAATACAGGATATTTGTTTGCTAACATGAATGATTCAGTAGAGAAAAAAAGTATAATGATGCAGGAGAGAGTGCAAAGTCCTATAGCAGGCAAAAAAGAATCATAGTATGCCAACAGTTGAGCTGACTCTAGATGGGAACAGAAACAGGTCATCCAAAGTAAAAGGAAGAAAGGCAAAACGTCTGCCAACAGATAAGACTGACTAGCAGAAGTGATTGTGGGAATTGTGGGAAAGTTTTCTTCCAACTGCTTCTATTTTCTCAGTGAAGTAGGAAGAAAGCATTAGTCCTTGTGAAAAGCAAGGAGAAGGTAAAAAATAATCACCTAGAATGTAGAAGAATAAATACACTGAGGAAATATAATAGGGTGACCAGAAGGTGCTAATTTGACATTGTTGGTTACATATTGAAAGTTAGACTAGTTAGAATAGTCATATGCTTTCCTCAGCCATATTCCACTGACCAAGCTGAGGCACAAAGGAAGTGGAGAGTTGGATTTCACAAAGTTTTTTGGTTATTGGTTATTGGTAATAATGGAAGAAAGGGCAAGAGAGTTGAGCCTTTGGAAATTATTATAAATGAATATGGAATTTAAGTCAGGTAAGGAAAATGGAAACAGAGAGAGAGAATAAAAGAAGCTGTTAGGATCCATGGATCCAAACGGGACAGATGTTTTAGAGGCAGACTCCTAAAGGAATAAGCTAGAAACACAGAAAGTAGTGATCAGGGAGTGGAATGATTATAAATGAGGCTAAGAGTTATTACTGATAATGAAAATTTTAATGGCATGGCAATAGGTGAGAGTTTTAAGTTAAAGTGGGAGACAAGACGATTTAAAGGGAAGGATCAAAAAATAAGCCAGGCATGGTGGCTCACGCCCGTAATCCCAGAACTTTGGGAGGCCAAGGCAAGAGCATTGCTGGACCCCAGGAGTTTGAGACAAGCCTGGTAAGATAGTGCAACCCCATCTCTACAAAAAATAGAAAGTCAGCTGGGTGTAGTGACACTTGCCTGTGGTTCAGTTATTCCGGAGGCTAAGGAAGGAGGATTGCTTGAGCTCAGGAAGTGCAGGCAGCAGTGAGCCATGACTGAGGCACTGTACTCTAGTCTGGGCAACAGAGCAAGACTCATTCTCAAAAAAAGCAGAAAGAAAGAAAATGAAAACAAAAGGTCATGTTCTATAGGAAATATAATCCTTTTTTACACTAAAACTGCAAAGAACGGTGACAATGTTGGGAGGAGTGACAGTGAGTCAGGTGTTAAACTCTTCAGAAGACAAGCATCTACAGATGACCCTAACACAGAGTGCTACAGTCTGGTAGCAGAAGCATCAAGGTAGAGGGATGAGGAGAACGGCAGGGTTAGGCAGCAGGGAGAGTCTGGCAATGAAAAGCAAAGGAAACATTTCCTTCATCCTACCTCTCAACCCAGTAACATTAAGGGATTAGAGAGAAAACAGCCAGCATGTAAGAGAGCTACAGAACAGTGCATTCGGGGACAAGCCAGGTTTTCAAGCAAAAAAAGTGAAGACATCTTTAAAAGTTTAAAATACAGTGGATTTAGCCAACAATGTACTATAAGAGTTTTCTGGAAGAGACTACAGGTTGGTGCAAAAGTAACTGCAGTTTTGCTTTCAATGACAAAAACCCCGATTACTTTTGGACCAACATGTAGAAAACTATGCAGGGGGTGGGGGCAGATCAGGGTATGACCAGAGTCTTCTGGCGATGGGAAAGTCTAGGTAACGAAGGAAAGTTGGAGTCCTGGGCTTCTTGTGGTGGCTGAAGTAAAGAGAGATAAAAGGGTAAGATGGAATTGGCCCATTCAGATTCGAAAACAGTTTTTTAAAGAAAGATAAAATCAGCCAGGTGCGGGGGCTCACACCTGTAATCCCAGCACTTTGGGAGGCCGAGGTTGGCAGATGACCTGAGGTCAGGAGTTCGAGACCAGCCTGGCCAACATGGAGAAACACCATTTCTATATTAAAAAAAAAAGAAGAAAGATAAAACCAGAGTGCCAGTTATCATACTGCCCCTCAGCTCCAAATCTACTCTTCATTGTCCAGCTTGTGATGCTTGAGCTGGATGTTGTAAAATTTCTTCGTTTGCTATCACAATATTAAGCTATGTCAGTAAAACTGAGAGGGTCATGGCAAAGGAAGAAGCTTCTCTTCCTGATGAGCACGCTTCTTTTCTTTTTGTTACCACAGCAGGTGGGACACACAGCACCACTCACCCCTACAGGCACCTTCTAGGAGTGTCTGGCCAGTACCCCTAGCAGCTTCCCTGTGAGTTTCAGCAGCATCTACAAGGACCACTTCCCAGAGTTCTGCTGATGCCCAGCCAGCATCCCAGCCAGAGCAGCACCAGGCAAGTTCCCGTGGCACTCCAGCAGCCTTCCCAGTGAGTTCAATGACCCCTCAAGTGGCTTTCCAGTACAATCTACTGACACTCCAGGCAGTTTCGTCAGCTCCACAGTGGACACTTTCCTCTTTGCCAGCCCCAGACTGTGTTGCCATCGAGTGAGCTATTGCCATACCCTACCCAGTAAGGTCTGAATCTCAGCCTTAAGGATGGGGTTCAGATTTCTTTAAAAAATTGTGTCTTCTTTGGGTACTCTGCTCAGCACTAGGAATAGCAGCTGCTTCCTAGTATGTATCAGCTATTACTGTATGATTTAAAAAAAAATTTATGATCTCTAGTCCTCTCATTTTGTTGTTTATTACAATTTTTCAACTTTTATTGTTTTTTGAGGCAGAGTCTCACTGTCGCCCAGGGTGGAGTGCATTGTTGCGATCGTTGACTCATTGCAACCTTCACCTCCCAGGTTCAAGTGATTCTCCTGCCTCAGCCTCCTGAGTAGCTGGGACCACAGGTGTGTGCCACCACACCCAGCTAATTTTTGCATTTTTAGTAGAGATGGGTTTCACCATGTTGGCCAGGCTGGTCTGGAATTCCTGACCTCAGGTGATCCACCCATCTCACCCTCCCAAAGTGCTGGGACTACAGGTGTAAACCACCGTGCCCAGCCTATGATAGATTTTAAACAAAATGACTGATCATTCCTACTATATAAAGTTTATCTTACAGCAGTGTGTGTACATATGTATCTAAACCAGTGTATATGTATATGTATGTGTATGTGATCCAAAATAAAACAAGCTCTGTATATCAAAGCATGCAGCTACTGACATAAGGAAAATGTCAAATTTCTGCAACTATCACTATGTTCTTGGGCAGGTCACTTAAATGCTGCAGGCCTTCAGTTTTCATCTGAAATATGACAGATTACATGATCACAGTCCTTCCAGCTCTATGATTCTATTTATATGATTGTGAATTCTCAAATACCAAATATTTCCAGATTTTTATCAAGAACATCATAAGTATTTATTTCATTTATGTACAAAAACAAATGGCTTTGCTTAGGTTGTTCAAAAGTTATTTCATTTATAATGTCATTCGCTTTTTATTGCACTAATTATATTACTTAATATATTTACTTAACGATTTTTTATGACTCCTGTAAGGCTTCTCAGTTTTAGAGGATTGGTAAAGCACAGAAGGACATTCCTTGGTAACTTAATAAAAGCAATTCTATAATATCAAGGTAACAGAATTGAGCTGCAATGAAATAAGGCTGAATTGAATTTGCGACTAATACACAGTCTGTAACATGATCATACCTGTTTATGTTTTTGCAGTGGTTTCTTTTCGTGTAATTTTTTATCTCCATACTTCTTGTATGCTAAAGGTATTCCATATTTAGCAGCAGGCTTTGTAATTTTCTGAGCAGGCATAACAGAAATGGAGTTTTGTCCTGAAGCTGGTCTTTTAGCTACATGAAAAGATACAAAGAATTTTGTCTGCAGTTCTTTATATTAACTCTTTACTTTCAGAATTCTTCAAAACAGCTCTTTTTAATTTTTATAATCATTGATAGTATTTGAAACTTTTCATCAAATATCTTATTCATCCCTTAGTATTTATTAATGCCTTAACTATTTTACACTAAAGTCACTTTTTGACGGAAGTTAAAAGCCAAATTCCTCTAACATGCTAAAGTTTTTCATATTAAAAAAATCCCTAAAATTGACTGTGGGTAATTGTTGCATGTATTGGCGAATATACTAAAAAAAAAAATTAATCATGAATATACTAAAAAATATTCATGTAATCATGAATATACTAAAAAAAATTTAGTTGTACACTTCAAATGCATAAACTGTATGGTATGTGAGTTATATATCGATAGAGCTGTTAAAAATAAATTTTTTTTTTTTAAAATAAATTTTTAAAAATTTATTTTAGAAACTACTTTCAAAATCAAAAGATAATCAAGAGAAACTGTAAGCATTAATTACATCAATATAAGCAACTTTTATCCTTCATATAATGTCTGAATGATATCTATAACTACAGACCTGTCAAAGGAGAAATATCTTAAAACAATCATTATCACTAAGGTTGTTGGCAGAAATATAAATTGGTTAAACTTCCTGGAGAGCAATCTAAATTAAGAATACTGTTCATCGGGCAGGGCACGGTGGCTCACGCCTGTAACCCTAGCACTTTGGGAGGCCAAGGTGGGTGGATCACCTGAGGTCAGGAGTTCAAGACCAGCCTGGCCATTATGGTGAAACCCCATCTTTATTGAAAAAAAAAAAAAAAAAAAGAATACTGTTTATGACCTGATATTAAAGAAATAATCAGAGAAACCCCACACACAAGAATAAACCCTGCAGTGTTATGTATTTAAGCCTTATTGAAGCCTAGGTGAGGTTCAGTCTTAGAAGGGATAAGTTCTAGAAAAAAACTCTAAAGTAATAAAAAGAAAATTCCATTATTTATTCACATCTTTGGAGGATATTAAAAGAAGTCAGAGTAGAGTCTACATAAACCCTTAGCGAAACCCTCTCTCCATCTCTTATTTTCTGTATGTGCTAAGATACCCCTCTGCTCAAACTCCCCCAAAGCCTGAGCAGCAGCTTGCTTGCTTCCACTTCCAGACTGCTGTCTAGCTCAGGATTTTATAATGTGCTAAATTAACTTAAATCAATCTCTTCTAGAAGTGATCTTCCTTTTTAGGAGGGAAAAGGAGAAAAAATATATATAACTGGTAGTTCAAAATGAAATACGACTAAATTCAGTTCTTCAAAAAAAGTGATTGTATTAGAAAATGTTCATCATATAATAGTATAAATTAAAAGAAACAAAACTTCTAATAACATTCTCAATTTGTAGTCATTATGCATAAATTATCACAAAAAATAATCAAATACAACTGTGTGTGTTAAAATTGGGGTAATTTTTATTTCTTTAAAACATTTTTACAATGAATATATATATTTCATATGATTTAGTAAACTCTTTAAAAATAACGGCAATATAAGCCATTAAGTTGGCATTTTAGAGATTCAGAAGTAATTTTTGTTGACAATATAGGATATATGATGTGAAAGGGAAAGGTTTCCCAAACACATACTCCAACTGCATCTTGACCCAGAAACCAGGAATCATGAGGAAAAAATACTTCCCTTTGAGAGTTCAACCATACGATCAAATTAGAACTTACAGATACATATATACACACATACACACACAGTCACGATACTGCAACCTGGCTAAACAATAAAATCAAAGAATACAGTGTATGCCAGAAAAGGGGCTAGAGGTACACAAGCATAAAAAATAAAGATTTCTAAGAAACAGATAAGAATAGTCCCATCTACTTTCCAGAGAAGAGGAAGCATTACTTATCTGATTTTTGAGCATTTTTCAGGATCAATGACAAGGTTACCTACGGCATGAAGTTTAATGTAGGGGACTGGAGACCGCAAAGTATTTATCAGCAATACTACCCCTATTAAGCATTTCATTCCACCAAATGCTCTTACAGCAAATTACTTTCAAATTCCTATGTAGGAATTTTACCCATGTGGAAAGAACATGCTGATACTGGGTATTTCTGGCTTTTGTGACAAAGAGCCTTTTAATTAAGATATGATTTCTATGAAGCTTGACTGCCTACTGTGCAGAAAAATCATGCTGATTCTGCTGTGTACCTCAGTTTCCTGTGAATTCTGTTTGAGTGACTTCTCAGGGACTGGTGGTTTCTGCACAATGAGAGGATGTCTACAGTTTTGAAGAAGAGCTAAGTGCAGTCTGCCTTCCTGAGAACAAACACACTGCCATACCACTTCTAGCTAAATGGGCTCATTTTTATGATATGGCATCTATTTTCATTAATTTATCCAAACTCAAAATGGAGTAGAACATACAAATAATTCTGTCTGAAAAACAACATACCCTTCACATATTAAATAACTTCCACTGATTTTGGAAATCCATTCTGAAATCATTCCATTCAGGAAAAAAAATAATTACCCTCTCACATAGATACATGTAAATACATACACATAGTATGTAACCATATCCACAATCTTATGATTCTAATGCCACCGGTCACACTGTTTAAAAGAAAACCTATCTTTAATAAAGTACTTTACTTCACATTCACATACTTGAAAAAATTCAGAATATGAAATATTTCTCAAAGATAATATTTTATGGTGAGGCATGGTGGCTCATGCCTGTAATCCTAGCACTTTGGGAGGCTAAGGCAGGTGGATCACCTGAGGTCAGTAGTTCCAGACAAGCCTCGCCAACATGGTGAAACCCGTCTCTACTAAAAATACAAAAAATTAGCTAGGCATGGTGGTAGATGCCTATAATCCCAGCTACTTAGGAGGCTGAGACAGGTAAATCGCTTGAACCTGGGAGGTGGAGATTATAGTGACCCAATATCGCTCCACTGCACTCCAGTCTGGGGAACAGGAATGAAACTTCATCTCAAAAAAAAGATAATTTTATATAAAGATTTACACCAAAATTGGACATTTTATAATTCTATAACAACATTCTCAAAACATCAGCTATGCATTTGATAAGACATACGATTTCAGGCCAAATTTCATTTAAATAAAAGAAGTATTATTAATTTGTAAGAAATATACATTGCCATAATCATTTAGCAATTCTAATTTGCAGTTCCACTGGATTAAATTTATCCTAGAATTATCCCAACTTACTATATCTACATATATTTCCAGTGTAATTAGGTTTGATTACCACAAACAAATGAAAGGCTTCATATCACGTTTCATTTACCTGGTATAGGCTGTGATCCAAACTTTGAAAATGTTTTCAGACAGAATTCTTCTGCAATAAGCTTAGATTGAAAGAGAAAAAAAAATTAGAAAAGATGTTACATTTTTGAAATAAAAAACCTACCCATTAATCATAATACATTTTCCCATTTTTTAGTAATAATTATGTTGTCAAATAAACTGTACTAAAACCAAGTTGGGAAAAAAAAAAAAAAGGGCAGCTGTTGTGGTTCATGCCTGAAATCCCAGCACTTGAGGTGGCTGAGAGGAAGACTGCTTGAGCACAGGAATTAGAGGTCAGCCCTTGTAACATGATGAGATCTCGTCTCTACTTTAAAAATTAAGAAAAAATTTAAAAATTCATTCAATAAATTCCTCATGCTAACTCCCTCCCAATATTATTTATGTATATATCTATGTGTGTATGTTTTTGAGACAGGGTTTTGCTTTGTCTCTCAGGCTGGAGTACAGTGACACAACAATGGCTCACTACGGCCTTGACCTCCCAGGCCCAAGCAATCCTCCCAGCTCAGCCTCCTGATTAGTTGAGACCACAGGTTTGTAATCCCAGCTACTTGGGAGGCTGAGGCAGGAGAATCGCTTGAACCCAGAAGGCAGAGGTTGCAGTGAGCCAGGTCCAGCCTGGGTAACAGAGACAGACTCACTTAACTGGATTTAAGCTTTTTTTTTTCTTACTTTGTGGGGAAGGAAAAGGCAAGTGAATTTTTTTTTTTTTTTTCCAAGAGATCTGAGCTTTGGTGAGAGAAACTTCCTATAGTAATAGTGGTCCAGACACTCCAATAGGCAAAAAAATAATAATACATGACCTGAGGGGGTCATTTTTCCCATTAAGAAAACCCCTAGAGCAGTTCTCAAAGTCTCATACCAGCAGTATCAGCATCACCTGGAACTTATTAAATATGCAAAGGCTCCACCTCAAAATTACTGCAACTGAGGCTGTGGCAGTGAGACTCAGCAATGCCCACTAGGTGATTCTGATGTGTGCTCAAGTTTGCGAACCTCTTCACTAGTGGACAAATGTAAGAGCCAACTCTGGCTCACAGGCTATTTAGAGCGACTATGTGAATGTGTGCTGTCTTCTCAACAAATGCAGTTTTTTCTTTTCTTTTTCTTGGAAGAAAACAGGTGGTTTATGAGCTCCATCTTGTCCCCAGATAGAATCATTTCTTCCACTGTTGGAGAAGTCTTTCTTTTTCTGTGTTAATGCTCATGTGAATTGAGAGCTGGGGCATATAGAATCCAAGATCCTGAAATCTCCATATTGCGTTGTCCAGTAGAGTAGCCACTACCCACATATACATATTTGAATTAAAATTTGAGATATATATATATATATATATATATATATATATATATATATATGTATAAAGCTTTTCAGTCATTCCAACAACATTTCAAGTGCTTATTAACCGCATGTGGCTAGTGGCTGTAACATTGAACAACACAGATACAGAGCACTGTCATCATCAGAGAGCATTCTATTGGACAGCACCTATATTCCTAATGAATCAGAAATTATCCATGGTTTTTCAAGCCATATCCAGGAATAAGTTACCAGAGTGCACAAGACTGAAAACTATGCCCTATCAACCATGGCCGAAGGCCTTGAGAGGATTTAGGTATTAAAATGGTAGGGAGCATTATAGTGATACTGGAAATAATATTTCATATGTTAAAGTAAAGCTCATTAATTATTCCAAAGTTATAGCCTTTACAAAAATGTATCACAACTACTCAGGAGGCTGAGGTGGGAGGACTGACTGAGCTCCAGAGGTGGAGATTGCAGTGAGCTGAGACTGTGCCACTGCGCTCCGGCCTGGATGACAGAGTGAGACTAAGTACTGAACAAGTGATATATAGTAGAAAATAAATCTGAGGAACAACAGACAAAGGTTTTCATGCAGATTGAAATCGAAGTGGTGCTTAAATAGCAACAAGTAGGGTCTATGTATATGTTAAACATGTAATGTCAAATGTTCTATTTGTGAGTAATCACAATCTGTCCTTGTTTCTTTTCATATTGTAAGTTTTGCACATTTTAAGCTTGAATATTTTCTCTTTGATTGCTAGCTAGACAAATTCCAGTACTTCAGCCTTGAGATGGTATGTTCCAAATCCCGGTATGGGGAGAAAGAAACCTCAGCAAGACTAAATGAAGTCATTGTTTCTTCTCTAGTGGCTACCAGAAAAACAACTGTACACTTCATCATAAAAGTGTCCTTGCAAACATTATTTATAACAAAGGAGTCTTGTAAGACGCCCACATTTCAGAGGTTGTTGCTATGACCTATACAAGTAACCTTTGACCTCTAAAGTTTAGTTGGCTTTCTTGCTTACTAATGCCTTCTCCTGGTAGTAATAGTTAAATCAACATCTCTGTTTTCTGAAGAGTATTTGGTCACATGCGTGTTCTGTTAAGCCAGAAGGATATATGATACCTCCTTCTCCTCCATGAGCACATAAAATAAAAAAAAACTAGTTTTGCTGAATATCTTATTTACTGAAGAGATTAACATTTATTTAACAAAGGCCACACTAAACCAGAAAAGTAAAACAATTCCAGTTTCAGGTGATCCCATTTTTAGGAACAACTTATGTTAATTGATTTGATATAGATTTTTAAAAAAAATCTGTGAAATTAAAATTCAGTTAAACTCAACAGATATTTATTATGTGTGGGCACTAAAGGAGAAATCATGAGTCAGTAATCTAGTATATCTACATATAAATGGTTTCTATTCATTTCCTATCAAATAGAATATAGCTATAATCATATAAATTATGTTAATAATACATATATAGGCCAAGTGTGATGGATCATGCCTGTAATCCTAGCATTTCGGAGGCCAGGGTGGGCAGATCACTTGAGCTCAGGAGTTCAAGACCAGACTGGGCAATATGGTGAGACACTGTTTCTACAAAAAGTACAAAAATTAACTGGGCATGGTGACATGTGCCTGTAGTCCCAGCTACTTGGGAGACTGAGATGGGAGGATGGCTTGAGCCTGGGAGGTAGCAGTTGCAGTGAGCTGTGATCTGTAGTTCTGTTGCCCACTGCATTTCAGCCTGGGCAACAGAACTACAACCTGTCTCAAAAATAATTTTTAAAAAACGTATATTAGAATACACTGGTATGTAAGTAATATTTAAGACATTAAATATTTTGAGCACTTGCATGCTAGACATTAAGCACTTTATGTGTGTTTACACTTTTAATTCACACAACAACCTTAAAGATACATTTAATAATCCCTTTGCTCACAGGTGAGGAAAGTGAAGCACAGACATGCTCAATAACTTTACAGTTACAAATCCAGAGAACAGAGGAATAATGCACAACTGGAAAGCAAACATTAAGAAAACAGTTATGTAAGAATGGAAAGACTGGGGGAACTGGTTCACACCTATAATCCCAGCACTTTGGAAGGCCAAGGTGGGAGGATCACTTGAGGCCAGAAGTTCAAGACAAGCCTGCATAACATAGTGAGACCCTGTCTCTAAAAATTTTTTTAAATATTAGCTGAATGTGGTGCTACACACCTGTAGTCTCAGCTACTACGGAGGCTGAGGCAGAAGGATTACTTGAGCCCAGGATTTTAGGCTGCAGTGAGCTATGATTTTGCCATTGTACTCCAGCCTACGCAACAGAGCAAAACTCTGCCTGAAGAAAAAGGAGCATTTAAAGGAAAGTGACACTAACGTAGGTTGAAAAAGGAACACCATTCCCCCAAGGTTCAGATGGGCTCTCCTCAACACTGGAGGCCATGTCCTAGCTAAGCGGCATTACCCTACTGTTTAATTTTAAAGGAAAAAGGAACATACCTGAGGTGACAGAAACTTTTCAATGCGTTTGGCTATAAAACCTTTCTCCAATATGGAGTTGACTGATGGTCTATCCCTAGGATTTCTTTTAAATAATTGAGACACCAAACTGCGGAGATCATAGGAATAATGCAAAGACACAGGTGGAAAAGATCCAGATATTATCTTCAGAACCAGGTTTTTCATACTGCCAGCTTCAAACTAAAATCCAGAAAATAAATAACATACATGAAACATATATAAATTGAAACTGAGAATATCAGCGATAAGAAATAGTTCTTTTCCTATCAATATAGAAGTACAATCCTCTTCCAAATAATTATGTTTTCTAGATCAAAGTTTACTTAGTTACCTACAAATATCAGCCCTAAAAAAATAAAATGTTATAACTTGTCGTAAGAGTAATTTTAACTTATTCAAAATATTTAGGTCGGGAGCAGTGGCTCACGCCTGTAATCCCAGCACTTTGGGAGGTCAAGGTGGGCTGATCATGACATCAGGAGTTCAAGACCAGCCTGGCCAAGATGTAGAAACCCTGTCTCTACTGAAAATACAAAAATCAGACAGGTGCAGTGGCAGGCACCTGTAATCCCAGCTACTCGGGAGGCTGAGGCAAGAGAATCACTTGAACCTAAGGGGTGGAGGTTGCAGCGAGTCAAGATCATGCCATTGCACTCCAGCCTGGGCGACAGAGTAAGACTGTCTAAAAAAAAATAAAAATAAAAATTTAAAGATGGGAGGTAAGTTTCATAAACTATGACAATAATCAAAATGGTCAAAGACTATGCCTTAGAGGTAGAAAAATTAGGGCCAAAGAACCACAAGCAGAAAAAGAGCAACCTTCTGGTCTTCACTTAAGGTCTGCTTTTTAAAGTGGCTCTGTTATAATGACTAGAACAAGAAATTAACTACAGAACTAAAAGTATTGAGGGAAAATATAATATATAAAACTACCAATACTTTCCTTTTAGACAATGTTCACTGTTGTGTGTGTGTGATGCTCCTAAAAGCTATGGAAATCAGCAATATGGAAAATATTTTAATCGAAATATATGTCAGAATTAAACACAATATAAACTCTAAAAAGAAAACAAGAGGTGGGGTAGTTTAAAATCTGAAGATTTCGTTTTGAAAGAGAGTATTATTAAGCTTTTGATATCTCCACTAAAATATTACAGAACAATTGTACAACGTTGATATCTTAATACACACATTAAGAAAATAAAATAGGCCGGGCGCGGTGGCTCACGCCTGTAATCCCAGCACTTTGGGAGGCCGAGGCGGGTGGATCACGAGGTAAAGAGATCGAGACCATCCTGGTCAACACGGTGAAACCCTGTCTCTACTAAAACTACAAAAAATTAGCTGGGCATGGTGGTGCGTGCCTGTAATCCCAGCTACTCAGGAGGCTGAGGCAGAAGAATCGCCTGAACCTAGGAGGCGGAGGTTGCGGTGAGCAGAGATCACGCCATTGCACTCCAGCCTGGGTAACAAGAGTGAAACTCTGTCTCAAAAAAAAAAAAGAAAAGAAAATATACCATAAATTAGATATCGGTGATTATAAAAGTCCTATTAAATGTTGAACTCTCCTAAATGGTATTTGAGTAAATTCAATCTAAAGGAAATATCTATACATTTAAATAGGAATCCTAAATGCATGAAAGATGTGGTTCTCTATTCCAATGCACTTTTGTTTATCTCTGAATTGACATGCTCTTCATAAAGGGTGAGTTACTGAATTTTACCTATCTTAAAACACATGCTACTTAAGAGTAAACAATTCTAAAATACAGAAGATACGGTGACAGAATAATGTAGATATAAGATTTTTTTTTAAAACCCAAAAACCACTGGTTTAAAGCTAAAATAACTATGTTGCAGAAAAACTGATCAATTATTTCAAATAAGCATCTGATAATCACCATCCCACATTACTTTGTCAGCTTATGTTTTTTTCCTTAAGAAAGAAAAAAAACCCTAAGGCAATATAGTAAGAGAGTATGCAATCATTAAAAAGAATGACAAGGAAAAATATTCTGCAAATAGTATTAAGCAATAAAAACAGGCTATAAAGCTTCTTATAAAGTCTCATCAAACTTTTGAGAGAGAAGAAATAAATTTCGTTTTACAGGCAGTCAATACTGGTGGGAAGAACTGCTTATAATCCTTATTCACTTCTTTACATTTTTATGTATTTTCTGAAGTTTTGTATAATGAAAATACAAGATTGTTTCATCAGTGGGTAAAACATGCTAATCACCTTCCATTTCAAAAAACTGCTTTTTTAAAGAATCAACCTACTTAGGACAAGAACTCTCCCTTTTTAGTGTGCTATATGTTATTTCAAAAAACTCTCAAAAGTAAAAATTTTAAATACTCTGAATGATTACTTAAATTGATAAAAGTCATCAATGAATATATTGAAATGAAATTCTTTAAATTAGTTCAATTCCAAATTCAAATAATCTGGGTATTGTGAGAGAATTCACTAAAATGAAACTAGTAAAGTTTGTTAAGCTAAAATATCAAATTCATACTAAATTTAACATTAAGAAAAAAGCAAAATTTATTTCTGACATTAGAAATTATTTTCTGGAAAACTGAATTAAACATTATATAATAGCAAATATACTAGATACGCAAATATATTAAGGGAAATCAATTTATACTTCAGAAAAAATGAGAAGTTTAAAAATGGACTTAGAGAATTTCTAGGATGAGGGTTATCTAAAAGATGGTAAACTTTAAATATAATAAAAAACATTACAGTCACTTTTTGACATAACTTTAAAAATATTTCAGAAACTTCTACTTACAGCATGTTTAAGTGTACACAGCTCATAAAGGACACACCCCAGAGCCCAAATGTCACTAGAGAAGATAAAAATGAGAAATTTTCTCTAAGTATCAGAATGTACTTTAAAATTTTTTCATTTAAAGGAAACATAAACAGCATAAAAATGTTTTGGAAACATAAGTGCTTCAGAAAAAATTTCCTTTAAAACTAAAAATTTCAACCATAAATAAATGACAAAAGTAGCTGTCCCAGATTAGAAAATGGTTACCCCAACAATTACTTTAAGCTCCATTAAAGAAATTTAATATTTAAAAGGACAATATTTCGAAAATTCATGTAAATTCTATTTATTCTATTTCATAAAACTCAAACTGTTTTTATCAATTATTTGTAAAATACCATGATTTAAAAAATTATGAAACAAAATATTATTTTAATAGACATTAAAAATTTATTAAGAAATTTGCAACAGCTACTGACCAACATTACTTTGGTTGGGATTTTCCAACTAGAGAGGAAAAATAAAAGGTAGCTGGAATTTAATGACAGGATTGCTCTTGTCACCCACATAGTATATAGTCTGTTAGCCAGACTATAGAGCTGTGATTAGAAATAGGGGATTGGGAGCCAGAGGCCTAGTTTAGATGCTTATTCCATCACTTATTAGACTCAAGGATTTCAAAGTTGTTACTTTACCTCTCTCTGCATTTGTTTTCCTTATAAGAAGAGAAGGAATGATTAATACCTACATCTCCCAAAATTATTGTGAAGACTAACAGAATACATAGAACTCAAAACAGTACCTGGCTTATAGTGTGTTCAAGAAATATCAGCAATAATTCAATAGGAAGTGATTATCACGAAGAAAAAAACCAAGGAAAGCACTCTATTTTCAATTATAGCATAAATAATAAAATGATTCTGTAGTTCCTCCAGCAAGATAATCAAACAGCTTTTTTATAATTCCCCTCACCATATATTAACAAAATATTTATATATATACATATATGTTTACATGTGTGTATTGTTGACTTTAGAACAGTACTCTAAAGGTTAATAAACATGACATAACAAAAAGATTAAGAAATACATTATATAATGAATATCATTTTAAATACCTTTTATTGTTGTAAGGTTTGTTTTCACAGATTTCAGGTGACAAGTAGTATGGGGTCCCTATGCAAGTTCGAGCCAGCTCTACAGTACTAGAGAAAAAGAAAATTACTGGAGAAGCTTAAGACACAGTCATGTGCCACATTAATGCTGTTATTGGTCTATAACAGATCGCATATATGATGCTGGTCCCATAAGATTATAATGAAGCTGAGAAATTCCTAACAACTAGTGACATGGTGATTGTCATACACTATAGAGCAATTACTTTATTCAATAAATTTAGGGTAGCCTAATATACCGTGTTTATAAACTCTACATTAGCACACAGAAATGCGCTAAGTCTTCAAATTCACTCACTACTCACTCATTCACAGAAAGCAACTTCCAGTCCACTAAGCTCCATTTATGATAAGTGTCCCACAAAGATATATCATTTTTTATCTTTTATATTGTATCTTTTCTGTGTTTAGATATGTTTAGATAAATATTTATCATTATGTTACAATTTCTTACAGAATTCAGAACAGAACATGCTGTACAGGTTTGAGGCCTAGAATGAACATGCTACACCATCAGCTTGCCTGTGTAGTATGCTACATCATCTAGGATTGTATAAGTACACTCTGTAACATTCACACACTGATGCAATCACCTACTGATGCCTTTCCCAGAACATATCCCAATAAAGCAACATCCCAGTAAAGAATATACTTAAAGATAATATAAATTATCACATATACATCATCATGGATTGAAGTTTCACTGAAAACACTGTATCAAAACAAAGCTGAAAATTCACGTTACCTATTAAGAACTCTAGCAATTCCAAAATCTCCAAGTTGTACAGTTCCATCTTTAGTTAAAAATATGTTCTGTAAAAGACAGGGGGGAAAAAAAAAACCCTAGAAATATTGTTACAGTCCAGTTCTGAGTCAACAACATTTTTCATAAAATTCATAATCCAGTTAAAAAATTGTGCTGGAGTTACTGGATATTCACATACAAAAGAATAAATGAAGTCCCTTACTGCAAATCATATACAAAAATTAATTCAAAATGAAGTATAGATCTAAATATAAATACTAAAATATAAAACTCCTAGAGAAAAACATAGGAATAAATCTTCATGCTGTTGGGCTAGGGAATGGTTTCTTCAATATGATATCAAAAGCACACGCAAAAAAATTAAAAAAGATAAACTGAACTATCAAAATTTAAAAATTTTGTGCATCAAAGGACACCATCAAGAAAACATAGATTTGAAAAATCTATGTTTCAAATCATAGATTTGAAAAAAGACTTCTATCTGGAAAAGGACTTGCATAACTCAATAATGACAACAAAAAGACAAATAGTCTGATTTAGTAATAGGCAAAAGGGGATGGGCACAGTGGCTCACACCTGTAATCCCAGCACTTTGGGAGGCTGAGGCAGGCAGATCACTTGAGGTTGGGAGTTCACGACCAGCCTGGCCAACATGGTGAGACTCCATCTCTACTAAAAATACAAAAATTTGCCAGGTATGGTGGCAGGCACCTGTAATCCCAACTATTCGGGAGGCTGAGGCAGGAGAATCACTTGAACCTGGAAGGCAAAGGTGATTGCAGTGAGCCTGAAATTGCATTACTGCACTCCAGCCTGGTCAGAAGTGTGAGACTCCGTCTCATAAACAATAAATAAATAAATAGGCAAAAGGCACATACTTTATACTTTATAATATCCATTTATATAAAATGTCCAGGATAAGCAAATCCATAGAGAGAGAAAGTAGATTAGGGGTTACCAGAGTCTAGGTGGAGAGGGATGGGAACTCACTGCTCATGGGTATGGGGTTCTTGATGGAGTGATAAAAAATGTTCTGGAAGTTTTAGAGACTGGGAAGGAAAGTAATTTTTAGAGTATGGGAAGCAAACAGGAGATCTAATACAGGACGCAGATGAATAGGATAAGAATTAAGAGACAATACAGATAATCTGATACGCTCTAAATCAGGTTGAAAAATTTCCACCCAAGACAATGAAGCTTTTCAGGTCTTTATCCATTCAGAAGTTATCAGTGACAGAATAACATACCTGTGATTTTATGTCTCGATGAAGAATTTTTCTATCATGTACATGTTTCAGGGCCAAACATATCTGTACAAACCAGTCCAAAATCTAGGAAGAAAAATCAGATCTGTCATTTCTTTTAAAATTTACAATTCACAGTAGCCTTTCCTTGACCATTAAAAGAATTAGAGAATATTTAGAGATGAGAGGAACTAAATCCTTAAAAAAATATTTTAGGCAGCCAGGTGTGGTGGCTCACACTTGTAATCCCAGCACTTTGAGTGGCTGAGGCGGGTGGATCATGAGGTCAGGAGATCCAGACCATCCTGGCCAACATAGTGAAACCTTGGATCTAATAAAAATGCAAAAATTAGCCAGGTATGGTGGAGGGCACCTGTAATCCCAGCTACT